ATCTACAGGTGGCTTATCAGCATATGCACTTAACCGCGAGATGGAACGTTTTATTCGTCCTCGCAGCTGCACTAATTCTGCCCAATCTCTCGGCATCTTAATCTGTATTTCCGTGAGCGCTATCCGTCTCGAAGGACCAGCTTCTGGCGATGAATTGAAGTCTTAAATGTATCGCCAGATCGAGAAAAAATGCTTAATATAATTAATTAATAACTGCGCTCGATCGAAAAGAAACGGTTCAAGTGACAGAGTGAATACATACTTGCGCCTTATATATATACATGTGTAAGAATGAAAGAAATAAGAAAATATGTAAAAACTGCTGATATTAGTGCTACCGTATGGTTTGTGCATAAACCGATAATTATTTCTAACTTTGTCTATTCAAGCACGGCAAAACCAGATATGTTATTTTTATAGCATTCCTCAACAACGAGCTTTGGGAATATTTAGACATATATCAGCAGGGGGGTCCACCGAAACCAGTAAATTTATGAAAGGGGTCTACGAGGAAAAAAAGTTTGGGAACAAGTTTGGTCTAGATTAACAAAAATCTGACAGTGAGTAAATATTTGGAAAACGAAAGCAAATTTTCGCCGAAATGCCGATTCAGAATAAGAAAATAGGCGCAAAGTTTAATGCTTCGATTCCGAAGCGCCCCGCTAATGAGAAATTGGTCATTTAATTTTCTTTTGTGGCGTATGTTTGGACTTTAGGGTGTATGTCGAGAATTTATTTGCACTTTTAGCGGTGATAGCAGTAAATACACATCATATTCGCTGTAAAAAATTTCGAATTATGGCCCATCCATGCGTTCTTCAAGTTGCCAAGTCAACTCCGCACAGATGCAAAGACAGTCTAAGAGTGTTTATGCATCAAAATTAAATTTTGAACAAAATTCGTTTGAGTTAACTGCGGTTTGAATGAAACATGAGACCGTAAAATTTTATATTTGTTTGTTTAATTCTCTGAACCGGCCCTGTTATGATCAGTGTTGCCATTTTAGCCGTTTTCCGGCTAGATTTAGCCGGTTGCGATAGCAAACAGCCGGTAAAATCTCGATTTAGCCGGCAGCCGTTTTTAGCCGATTTTTTTAATTGGCTTTTTTTTCTTAAATTTCAAATATGTATATATGTTTCCATTTTTGACTAAGCGACCCAAAATCTGTTAGAAATGGCTACTAGACTTATCGTGGAGAAAATTTTCATGTCAGGCAGGGTTGTATAAAACTCGATTTCACTTATTTTTACTTTAAACGAAGAAGGGATTTTCTTCATAAAATGTTTGTTATAAATATCTTAATTTTAAGTGTTTAGTTTTATTCGCAAACTTAGAAAATAAGAAATTGTTTCACTGTTAAGACTCTATAGATGCGTTTGTGTTTGGATATAGTGCCGACAAACAGAATAAATATTACATGTAGATATTGTCTTCCCAGATAGCGCATTTTCAATTCTGCCTAAATTAAAAAACATAATTTTTGCCCACTCCCAAAGGTTTAAGGTAATGGAAAAATTCATATTTTCAAGCACTATGTACACATATATATTTTTTTAAACAAACGTTTTTGCTGAGAACTTATTCAAATTCCAAAAACCGAATGCCAACTTGAATTAAAGGACCCAACACTGAAGTGAGTCAAAATGAAAATAAAAGAGCACAAATTTTTATGTAAAGCAAAACTCGCGGACCGGTCATCTAAATGGGAGATCTGCAGTCTTGTGGTATCATATTTTACATCAGAATTGAAGGGATTTCAGAAAAATCTCACCAGTTCTTTTGTGTAACTGTGATTTTGCATGCCTTGTCAACATATGGCCTCGGTTGATCTTAACTTAAGGTCGTTGTTTTACTGCCTTAAAATTGAAGGGGAATTTTTACAGCGTTTTTTATGTTTATTGGTTTCTATTTGAGTGTATTGAAGATTGGTTAGTCTGAAAAGGCCTTGTAGGGAAGATAATAGGTTTGTTTGTCGAAATTCCAGCGAGAATTATCACTCAAAATATCAGATAGTAATAGTAATAAATAGTTTTCTTCGGAGTACCTTTCAAATCATTGGAATTAGCAAAATTAATTAAGTAAACAAGTATTAACTTACATTTTTCATTTTAATATCGCTCCAGTTTGTAAATTTTTAAATTTAACGAACTTGGTTATTCAAATTATCGTCGACAAAAAATCCAACCATGTGCCACAATCATATCTTTTTCCTAATTGCAAATTCTTTCTGGCAAAATTTTTTCCGGCTCGAATTTGTAACTTCTCTCCAAGAAATAGTCTTTTTACTCGTGATTTATTTAAATAAAATATGTGAAATTTAGTTGAAACATTTTAGCCGTTTTTAGCGGGTTTTATTTGCCAATTTAGCCGGTTCATCCAAAAAGTTCTGGCAACACTGGTTATGATATGGCACTTCATTCTATGTAGTAGTTTACAAATATGCACGTATACTTCTACAATCACCAAAATTTTCATAGGCTGTCTTTCTTTGATTTCGAACTGAAAACACATTGTGATCATATTGTATGGGTATACAGTTTAAGAGCCCATTTAATTTAGTGTAATAATGTGAAATTGAATAAGCCCAAAATCCTCGGCGACTTTTAAAAATTTTTTGTCTTAAGTAGTTTTTCCATGTAGGCTCGAAGTTTTTTTTATACATATGGAAAAAATGCGCAACATCGTATAATAAAAAATTCTCAAAAATTAACCAGAATTTGAGCTACTTCAAACTTGTACTTTATTGAACTGCATACCGAAATTTTCCCACAAATTTTTTATTATAAACTTTGAAATTTTTCTAAATTTTGTACGAGATAAGATCCGACTGTAAATGCCGAAAATATGACGAAAAATTAAAAGACCAAAAAAAGCTTTCAAAATAGCCTTGCAAAAATACTTAAGATTTAGGGGTAGGCAAACTTTTTGTACTGCTTTTTTTCTAACGAAAATAGAAATGTACTCCTCTCTCTGTTTCAAAATCTGGCAACCCTATTCAGGATGTTGTGGAAATGGTTTTGGATTTGCGGTTGGAATTGCATTTTATTGATGCGAATTTACAAATGCAACGAATATGCAAATGCCAAAACATTTACAATGTTTATCAAGCTAAAATTTTTTTGTTGTCTTTTATAAAAATATGGTTCATGCTCTAACAAAAAACAACATAAACCTACTTTCCAAAGCTTATACAGAATTTAGAAAAATTCCACGAATTTGTATCTAAATTTTGAGCCTTTTAACGGAATTATTTAAAATGTTTGGGTACGCAGTTACAAGGCTTAAAAAATCGCATTGATTTTTAACAATTTTTTTTTGGCTGACGGCTGTTGCTGTTTTTTTTCATATAAATAGGGAAATTTAGAAAACTGGCATTGATTTTTTTATCTTTTCGCAAATGGTTTTGCGCAGTTTCTGCCACAAGGAATTTATGTTTATGTGGAAAAAAATGCAAAACGACGTAAACAAAAAATAAACTATTAAAAATTAATTCGATTTTTTAGCCGCTCAAAACTTGCACTTATTTTACTAAAATTGTATAAGCCTTGTAACTGCGTACCCAAAAATTTTCTTTTAAAGAATGAAGGTTTGATTTATATGGTTTTTGTTAGAGACTGCATCATATTTTTATAAAAAATATAACAAAAAAAATGTTGCTTAGAAAACATTGTAAATATTAAAAAGAATTCTAAATATGACTTCAAGCTAGACGAACGCCGATATTCCCAAGCACAGTAGTTAAAGCAATAATCATGCGATGTTTTGTCATTGGCGTGGGAATGGCGCCGCAAAAGACATGTGAATAACATCAACACCTCACTCAGTCCCTATCTCAGACTCTCAGATGTACGCACAAAATTGTAGATTACTCTTGGGACTCTCAGAAATCTCGACGAAAAAACATTTCCTAATAAATACTCAATGAGAACATAAAGAAATATTTATATTTATGTATGTACTCTGAATTTTGCACAAAGCGACAGTTTTATGAATAAACTCCAGGAAGATTGGCTTTTATGTAATTTATATCTACAGGTTACACATGCATTTATGGTTTATCTCGTTGAATGATCAAAAGGGCACTGCACCAGCGCCTTAGACATTGCATTCAATTAGGTTTCTGTTTGTAAATAACACCGGTCAATTCTCCGTCCTTTTTTATGATGCATCGCCTGCAAGCAAACTATCATTAGAATAATTTTTAATATTTTTTATTAAATTTGACTAACTTGTTCCCACTGTACAGGTAAATGGCTGGTGGGTTTAAATTTGGTTCCAGTTTGCACGCCTGTTCTGAGATGGCCATACCAATTCCCGACATGTTAGGATTTATTTTCCCTTTTGCTAAACAAAAAAAAAGTATTTGAAATCAGTTTTTAAAACTTAATTTTATGCTTACCTCCCAAACATAAGCCTTGACGATTAGCCAGCAGCACACCCACTGTTTCCGGCTGAGAAGCACTGTAAGTAATGAGATAGCATAAGAAATCGTCTTTATTGCAGCAACAATAGTTGCGTTCCACATGCTTCACAATTTGCAGGTTTTTACAGGAAGTCGTTCCAGGTGACCACCTTCCATAAGGTTTATTAATGGATAAAACAGCTGTTCCTTCAAATCGTGAATATCGTGAAGAATCTGGAACGCAACTAATGTATGTAAATACTGACAATTCAGTAAGCACTTTCTCCAATGGTTGTTCCATTATTTAATTATTTTTATATATAGCGGAATTCTACAACTATGGCCTGAGATCAACGTAAACAAAGAAGTCCAATCAGCTGATGCTACTTTGTTTTAGCCGATTAATTCAAAGTACAAAGACAGTTATCGATAAATACAAAACAATCAAAACAAAGCGATTTTAAGTACGGCAAAACGAATGAATATAATAGCATATTTCCACACAGCACTCAATGGCTTTACTGAGCTTGGCTATCATGTGTATGAACCGATCCAAGGCGCATAAATATAGGCAAGCGCATATTATTAAAAATGTCATGCTATAATTATGTACTTAGAAAATATAATGGAGCGTTTGCATTGGCATCAGAAGAAACCGATATTTTATGATCGAAAAAAAATAAATCAAAACGTAACGATCGTTCGTGGTATAAGTCCACTATTAACGATTAAATTATTTGTATCATGATGATACTACGTTCGCTGATTTCGATTGATATATCTACACAATACACATAACAAATATGTTTGTGAAACCGCTATAAAAATTTGATTGCAAGGATTTTCCAAAACTTACAAGTTCCATTACAAACAAGCACATACCTCCCTAATACTGGGGCCATTGGTAATGCAAGCATGACTTTAATGCAATTCAGCCTCATTGCGTAAGTCGTAAATTAGGCTAAATCGTACCACTCGACAACAGTAGCATTGTCTATTGTCGTCCTGAAATAAGTAAACGACCAAAATCGTCGAAAACTATACAGTGCTGCCAAGTTTTTCCGTTTTAATAAATTAGTCGAGTGGAAATTTTAGGCAATGACGTGAAATTTTCGGTACGATTCGACTCTCGACTTGCATTCGACACGACTCTCGCAATGAGGGTGATTAATCACTTTTATTTTCCCTCCCATATATATTTACGTATATATGCCACAAAAAACTACTTTTCTAACCTAGAGTACATATATATATTTATTTATTTACGATTATATCCGCATTATAAATCATTGCAATTAATGCATTTAACATGTGTGGTGTTTAGGCAACAAAACTGACTTTTTAAATTATAAATAAGATTGATAAAAAAAATTTGGAATTTGTATTATACTGCCACTATTTATCAACGAAAATGCATGGCCAGCCCAATAACATCTACATACTTTTTCCAATAACTAATAGCATAATTGTTTCTATCGATGTGGGCTAGTAAATAATAACAGTATACATAAATCAGGTTATAAGTGTTCTGGTTATATAATTAATTTATGAATGTTATTTGCAAAAATACGTTTCACGCAGTTTTCTCCATTAATTGAGTGATAAATGTAGATGATTTCAACTACTACACTTATTTGATTAACGTTCCAATTTTTAAACAATTTCATATTTTTCTACAAATAGTATATTTTCAGTTGAATATTTTACTGAACTTTCGTCATCAATGAGGAATACATCTGTGGCACTTAGAGCAGCGTAAGGAGTTTTCGAAACGAAGTACACCTGAAAATAAATAACGTAGATATTGCAAATGAACGCTCTATAAAAACATGTATGTATGTACGTACTTGAAGTGGAAAGAAGTCACCAGGAATTGACGAATTGCAGCTAAACTCCATTGAACCGGATTTGTTGTTGGCATCAATAATGGGTATATTCCATTGAAGTATGTGCTTTCGTGCATCATAATTGTAAGTGCCATCGTATTCGGCAACAGATGGTTGCACATTCATACTTTTGTAAATAAAATAAAAAATAGAACTAAGTATAAATTTAGAATTGCTAAATGATACTTACGGCAGTGGTATGGAGATGGACACATCCTGCAATTCTAAATGTTGTGCCTCTAATTCATACTCAATGTTTACGTCGCAACCGCCTTCGCCATTTTCAGATGGCCAGCAGTTAACTGTATTAATAATACATGTAGTTAATTTATTTATCAAAATCATGAATGATCGTTATACTTACTTGTCAGGGGTATAGCAGCTTCGTCCTGTGTTATGAAACGCCACTTCAATACACCTACATCGGTATTTAATGGGAATGGTTTAGCGGGATTTTTCAACCCGATAATTGAGCGCGCCTTAAATAACTCTTTATCGACATTTGGATGTGTTTGCAATTGTATGCCATGGGCATCGTTGTTGTGCAATTTTAGTTTGATGCGTCCGAAATTTTCATCGGAAATACGCAACGTCAATAAACCGGAGAGCTCAAATTGTTGGAGACCTCCATCGCGACCAAGACGCACAGTAAGCTTATCTTCCATCTTGAGGTGTACACTGTTAAATGCATAGAATAGAATTAAGTGTGAAGTGGTCAGCATTAGTTAGCATTAGCAACCTTTCAGTGTGAACGTCTGAAGCAATTTTTGTCTTGGCTACAGCCACACTACTTTGACCGCTAATCGGTGTCAAATTTGAAATTTTCTCTCCTTCACTCTTCAATTGGTCAACAAAACTATCGACATCTTTATTTTTCCCACCTAGTTTCAAAGCATTCCGTGCAGCTGGTTTCCTATATAAAAGAGATGTTATTGTAAATGGAATAAATCCGAATTAATAAATGTGTGACTTACTGAGATTTTGGAACGGCTGGTTTCAAATCAGACTCAATCGACGGAGCACTGCTTATTGAACTGGAGCTAATGCCAAATGCATCCATACTACTGCTGCCACTACCGTGCCCACCTCGTCCCATTAACGCAGAACTACCACCACGTTTAGCTGCCTCTAGACGCTGCCGCTGCAACTCCTTAGCTTTTTCTCGCATTTTCTGATGTGCTTCACGTTCTTGAGTTTGGCGAACTGCTTGATATACCTTTTCCTCATGGGAGTCCATTTCAATAAACGTTTTGATTTGTTTTAAGTTGACGCTTTCACGATAACCAAGTGCAACGATTTCATCGAAAGCGAAAATCAAATTGAATGCGTTTTCCAGAATTTCTTTCTCATCCAAACTATGAGAGTACTCGGGAATCTAAAAAGAAAGATACACGATACATTTGTTTATACCACAATGTATTATAAAAACTTACCACTTTGGAGAATAAACGCAATGTTTCCAAATCTTCTAAAATGTTACTTGCTTTTGTTGTGATCAAAAGCATATAAAGTTTTTCCATTGGTTGATAAACATACCGCACTGATTCCGTTTCTACATATGTATGCTGTTTGCCGGATGTCATCAGCTTCGGAAATGCAGCAAGCAATCCCTCGATTCGCGCTTTAGTCATCTCCACAAATTGCCGTGATATAATCACTGTTAATGGGAATTTTTATTATTATTTTATTTATTGGTTTACAATACACTTCGGTTCATACCTTTGCCATTCTTCGTACACACCGCCGCAGCTATCAAAACCTGCACAAAAGACAAGTAAAGAAAATAGAATTTTTGCATAAATCCTAAACATACTGACTATCGTTTGCACTCACCATGTTTTCGAATATGTATATATGACTTTAGAATACTCTAAAATTAGTGCGAATGATATTAAAACCACTTTTTATCAACTATTCGTCTAGATTTACTCCGCCTGTAGGTGACGTGTTAGATTAATGTACGACGGATATGTCAAATTCATGCCAAGGAAACGATACGAGCTGTTGAAATGTCAATCGATATTTTATTTTTGGCTATCGATAGTACAAAAAATTGTGAAAAATCGATAGTAATATTCACACATTTAAATAGAAATTTACCAAAATTAAATAAGGAAATGTTTGATCCTTAACCCATTAACTATTTAATTTTAAATAAAGTTATAACACTTTTCACGAAATTTTAGGCCTTTTGCCAGAACATACAAACCCACAAACTTATTCCAATCACAAAGCACTTCATTTTATATAATAAATTTGTAATCAGTTAAAATTAAAATGAAAATCGCTCATAAAAAACATCAAATTGCTAAAAAAAAGGCATCCCAAAGCGATAGAAGAAGATGTAAACAAAAATAAAAAAAATAAAAAACGCTACTAAGACTTTTTTCTGATTACATGGCGGATTGCGTGATCTGTAGACGTTGGTTCATGGTATTATACTTGCTTCTCAAAGGGAAAGTGAATACCATCCATTGTGGCAGCATCACCGCCGCCGTCTCAATCACCGTCAACGATGCTTATGCGTCAAGTTACATACAATTCGTTTGACATTGCGCACGAAAAATCATAAACGCGCTGATACTCTTTGCAAAATTTGCTATTTACTTTTTCACTTCTTCTATTAGGTTTTCCTTCATTATTTCTTACATTCCATTTTTCCATAAGTATTAAAATTTTCACAAACTGGAAAAATTTATGTTCAAACATGTAAACAAAACTCTGAATAGTTGTCATTTGACGCAATCGCATAAGCAAAATTAAGAGTTGAGCTAATTTGTGCGGGACCGTCACCGTCAGCTTGTTCATGTAACTTACTTCATACAAATACACCGAATCAGCTTTTTTGACAACTGTCGGTGACGGTGACGGTGACGCAATGAACGTTATGCATGAACCAGTTAGAACAGATCTGACCGGTTGAGAAGCAGCCATTTGTAATAGCAATTGAGAAAAAAGTGTGTGACGTTCGTTATTTTGAAGTTTTCTATTTCTGTTTTGCTTCTTTCTTTATGTGTATTTTGTCGGTGGTTTATTTCAGTTAATTTTAAGTGATTTTTTGTGCAAATGTAATTAAAATGAAGTGCGCGGTGATTGGATGCAAAAACACGTACAAAAATAATAAATTGGTTAGCACAAACATATGCACAACATTGCTTGCACTTTCTTTATGCTTCGTCTTCATATTCTTTGTTTACTTTTCACAGAAAATAACATGGCGCCGAAATTACAAACGTCAGCCAGAAAATTACTTTTTTTTTTTTTGCTTCATCTTGTCAGATCTTGTGTAGTTGGATCATGGTATTATACTTGCTTCTAAAAGGGAAAGTGCATACCATCCATTGCTGCAGCGTCACCGCTACCGTCTCCATCACCGTCAACAATGCTTATGCGTCAAGTTACATACAATTCGTTTGAAATTGCGCACGAAAAATCATAAACTCGCTGATACTCTTTGCAAAATTTGCATTTTACTTTTTCACTTTTTCTATTAGGTTTTCCTTCATTATTTTTTACATTTTATTTTTCCATAAATATTAAAATTATCAAAAACTGGAAAAATTTACGTTCAAACATGTAAACAAAACACTGAATAGTTGTCATTTGCCGCAATAGCATTCGCAAAATTGAGAGTAGAGCTAATTTGTGCCTCATCGTCACCGTCAGCTTGTTCATGTAACTTACTTCACCGTGCATCGAATCAGCTTTTTTGACAGCTGCCGGTGACGGTGGGCATTGGACGTAATGTACTTTCACTTTAATGGGCTGTTTTTGCTTACGCGTAAAAGCACATTTAGCGCATTTAGCTCTAAATGCTACTCTAAATGTACATTTATCCATACAAAATTCCTCACCTAAATGCAACTAAATGCAACTCCATTTTTGCATTAAGAGTCTAAATGCTAAAAGCAACCCTGTGATCTTCCAAAATTTCCACGATTCGAACATGGGTTAAAGAGAAAAAGTGGCAACATTACTTTTTCGAGTATACTGTTACGATTATCCTCGAAACCTTGAGGGATTTCCCAAATATACTCGGGCTCGTATCGCTGGATTGTTAAATAAATGCTAACGATGACCAAATTGTAGTACAATTAACTTTATTGTACAACAAACAATTTACAATACTTGCTAATACAGTAAAAACACTTTACAATACTTGCTAAAGCAATAACAACGCTTTACTACTTGTTAACACAATTAAACTTATAGCTTGCTTATTCGCAACTCAATTCTCCGCTCACTTTACTTGTAGCTTGCTGACTTGTAACTCCCTCACCTTCGCGTTGGCGGCGCCCTTATATACCTGCGCTGGCACTTATGGCAACTCTAGAACATTCTGAAGTTTAGCGCTCATTCTCTTTCTCTCGCTGTTCGCAGTGTTCATCCAACTTGACGTTTCTCTTTGTAGAACATTCTACGTCATTCTTCGAACATTCTGCCTATTTCTCGTTGTTCGCTTTGTGTTGCCGCAGTATTCGCCACACTGCCCTCCACCTAAGTCTGATCGTCCCGATCAGACACACTTGCGGTTCCAAACGCTGCAAGCCTTTCCAAGTGGACCACCTTCATCTTGTTTCTTGGTCTCCCGACGGTCTGGATCCGATACACTACGTCATTTAGCCGTTTTACGACCTTATACGGACCTTCCCAGTTGCATTGTAGTTTTGGGGACAAACCTTTCTTTCGTTGTGGATTGTACAGCAACACCAAATCTCCTTCCTGGAAACCCTCGGAATTCATCGCCTTATCATACCTGGCTTTCATTTTGTCACTCATAATTTGTGTGCGCTGTCTCACAAGAGCATGTATCTCTCTCAGCTCCTCTTCCAGGATGTTTGACGTCTCTTTTCCAATCCTTCTAGCATCACCAGTCACCCCAAACTTCAGATCACTAGGCAAACGGAGCTCACTGCCGAATATTACCCTTGCAGGAGTTTTACCCGTTGTTTCATGCACTGCTGACCGGTATCCCATCAGGAACAAGGGTATGCGGACATCCCAATCTTTTTGATTCTTGTCCACGACCTTCCGCAAATGCTCTTCCAGGGTTCGGTTGAACCGTTCCACCATGCCGTCTGATTGGGGATGAAGAGCCGTCGTTCGAGTTTTCCGGATACCCAGTATCTGGCACATCTCTTGGAACACTGCCGACTCAAAATTTCTTCCCTGGTCAGAGTGCAGCTCTATAGGTACACCGTATCTCGCAACCCAATTGTAGGTGAATACCTCCGCTACTGTTTTAGCTTCCTGGTTTGGAATCGGGTATACCTCCGGCCATTTGCTAAAGTAGTCCATAACCACAAGGACGTATTTGTTTCCCTGTGCGCTCATAGGAAATGGACCGGCTACATCCATGGCAATCCGCTCGAAAGGTGCACCTGAGTTATATTGCTTCATCTGGCCATGACTTCTGGATTTCGGCCCCTTAGCTGCAATACACTCCGCGCAGTTAGCAATCCACTCTGCGACCGATTGCCGACAACCAACCCAATAGAACCTCTGCTTAACCTTCTCCAGGGTCTTCGTGATTCCCAGGTGCCCTCCACTAGGACCATTGTGGAATTCCTTGAGTACATCCGGAATTCTTACCCTTGGAACTACTATCAGGTTGCGGGAGCACTGGCCATCTTCGCTTTCCCATACCCTATGCAAACAGCCAGATATTAATTTTAAGCTGTTCCATTGTGCCCAGTACGCCTTTGCGATGGGGCTTTCCGCTGCCATTTGCTCCTTAGTTGGCCTCCTGTCTACCTCCAGTCCATGCATCAAAAGCTCAAGATCTGGATCTTCCTGCTGACACTTCCGTAGCTGTTCTTCCTTCCACTCTTCCGCTGGTGTTATTGTCGTTAGACGGACGTCTATAATGTCCTCTTTTCCCTCAGCTTTTGAGCAGTGTTTACATTCCAGGCTACATGGTCGGCGGGACATGGCATCAGCATTACCGTGGACACTTCCCTTGCGGTGCTCAATAGCGAAGTCATAACTTTGCAGTCTCTCAATCCACCGAGCTAGCTGTCCTTCTGGATTCTTAAACTGTAGTAGCCACTTCAGCGCTGCATGGTCCGTTCGAACTCGGAAACGTTGCCCATAGAGGTACTTGTGGAAATGTTTGACGCAGTCCACCAACGCTAGTAGTTCTCTCCGAGTTACGCAGTAGTTCCTCTCTGGTTTTCCAATCGACCGGCTATAGTAGGCAACTACCTTCTCCTGCCCATCAATTACCTGCGACAGTACGCCTCCTATGGCATAACCACTAGCATCCGTATCCAAAATAAACGTTGCACCTGGAACGGGATACGCTAGCATAGGTGCAGTACATAGTCGTTCCTTCAGAGTCTGGAAAGCCTCCTCCTGCTCCTTGTTCCACTCGAAGGCTCTATTTTTCCTAGTGAGCTCGTGGAGGCTATTAGCAACGCTGGCGAAATTCGGAACAAATCGGCGGTAGTAGGTGCATAGCCCAAGAAAACTTCGTAGTTCGTGCAGGTTCCTAGGTCTTGGCCAATCCTTTACTGCTTCTATCTTTTCCTTCGCAGTACAGATGCCCTCCGTTGTCACCTTGTGCCCTAAGTAGTTCACCTCCTTCCTGAACAGTGAGCATTTTTTAGGACTTAGCTTCAGACCAGCGCCAGCTATCCTCTGGAAAACTTCTTCCAAATTGTTCAGGTGTTCCTCAAAGCTTTTACCCAATACGATAATGTCGTCTAGATACACCAAACATGTTTTCCAATGCAGTCCTTTGAGCACATGGTCCATAAGTCGTTCAAAAGTGGCAGGAGCGTTGCATAATCCAAAGGGCATCACCGTGAATTGCCACAGACCATCTCCAACGCTGAAAGCTGTCTTCTCCTTGTCCTCGTCACTTACCTCCACCTGCCAATAACCGCTCTTAAGGTCGAGTGTTGAGAACCACTTTGTTCCAGTCAACGAGTCCAGAGTGTCATCGATCCTGGGAAGAGGATAGCTATCCTTTTTCGTCACA